CTCAAGTGCCTGCACGTGTTGTGGGAGCCGGGGGGAGCGGAGATCGGCGGTGGCCCCGCAGCAGGAGTGGCTAGCAGGCTGGGGAAGATGACAGGAACGAGGGCCAGGCGCCACCACCGAGCCGTGCGCTGCCTGGGTCCAATTGGTAAAGATATCTATGGTAAGTTGACATTTACTGGTAAAACCCTGAATTGTGGACGACTTGTCTTAAATTATGATACGTACCTTTATTGAAGTTCTGGTTACGTTAGAATTAAAAGTCACTGTCAATTCTGGTAAAAGAACTGGTTTAAACAGCCAACCGATACTTATTACAGTTACAGTTGAATGTGTAATTATGTCATGAAGTTCATTAAAAAAGTTTTATTAACGTAAGTAATAAATAAATTGTATGACATTGGACATAATTTTTGTTTTGGAGGAATATGAAAAGGCAACATCACCACAAGGTGGCGGTAAATCATATTTAATGCACCGTTAGAAAAGTCAATAGGAAATACCAAAAAGAAACGAGCCTGTAAATTTATATGACAAGAATTCATTGATATGATGTCAAGTATCAGCTCCAGTACAATAAATACAGCATGACGTCATCAGTGTGACGCCAGCATCCCATCATTTCTGTACCTGTACAGCTGTGAAAAGACTGAGGGAGGCAGCGAACAGCAACGACATCGACACAGGTAAACACTCTGGCTGATCCAGTAACAGAGCCGCGTCCAAAAATAAGAATCTTCTAATAAAGTTGTGTTCACTCAGTGCGAAAGCTCCTGCAGGACCACATTGACCCGTGTGCAGCGGACGACAAGGGAAGGACAGCTCTGCACTTCTCCTCCTGCAATGGCAACCAGAGCATCGGTGAGTTAGGGTTCGCCCTTATATCCCTGTAATCACCCAGTCCATGTACTGGTCCATGTACTGGTCCATATGTTCTGGTTTGACCACGATTCTGATTTGTCAAGTTTTTTTGTTGATATATATATATGTATGTGTGTGTGTATTTATTACATTATAGTAGCATTTTATACAGTAATGTAGGTTTTCTTATAAAAACAAGTATTCATTAAAATTAATATTAAAATCACATAAAACCAATATTTTGGTTCAGTTGAAAAGAAAAGACGGTTATAAATGCGGAAATGAAACTGTGGTTTGACTGGAATAAATGATCATGTCAGACTACGTTGATGTGATTGGACAAAAACCCAGTGAACAGAAAGGTGTAAATAGAAATAGATGGGGGTAAATTGAAAGGCTGAGTTGTCCAAAGTTTCAGGAACCATTGTGGTCATACACCAAGCCAAACAATGACTGGATCACAATTGACCTGGACCACATGACCACATGAGGTGAATTATTGAACCTCAGCACAGTCACTTCCTGTTGACCAGGTCAGATACCGTGAACCCACAGATCCACTCTTCACACAGACCAGACTACTGAAGTCTAACCCTAACCCTGGCATCCTTTCCTACCAAACTAAATATTAATCTATAATTAAATATACAAACAACTACATCCATGAGCGGTGTGGAACAGTCGAAGAACTCGGGTCCAAAACAAAGAACAGTTCAAGAAAATATGCTGTTTACGTGTGTGTGTGTCTGCGTCTGCTTCTTCTTCTGTTATATATGTATATGATAGACATTATTTTCTTTTCTTGTTCTTCATTTCTATATTGTTTTGGTGCAGAGTACCTGTTGACAAGCCTTGTACTATTTGCATGTTTTTCCTTTGTCCACCAAGTCCAATTGTTGCTGAGCCATGGTGCTGACCCCAACCAGCAAGACAGCCTGGGAAACACCCCCCTCCATCTGGGTAAGGGAAAAGAACTGTGATGCTGAAGACCTACAGTACTACCAGACTTAAATACTCTGTACTACACAAACATTTGGTTTGAAATAGTGTTGAAGCTGAACTCTGGGAGTACTTACTGTATGCAGTATCCGTGGTGTGGAAACATTGTAATACTTGAAACAGCAGTAAAATGTACGCAATAAAAGGTGTGTGTTCTTCATGTGTTTTTTCCGTGTGTTTTCCTGCAGCGGCCTGTACCAACCATGTGCCTGTCATCACTACACTGCTGAGAGGAGGTCAGGCCGCCGCCACCGCTGTGTCCACACTGTTGGGAAACGCTGATTTCTGACTAGTCAGACAAGTTTACCTGCGTGTGTAATATTTCTGTGCTTGTCGTCTCTGTGTAGGAGCTCGAGTGGATGCTCTGGACCGGGCCGGCAGGACACCGCTGCATCTGGCACGCTCCAAGCTCAACATCCTCCAGGAGGGAGATTCTGGCAGCTTAGAGACCCTCAGGGGGGAGGTGACCCAGGTACAGATGGAGCGCAGCAGCTCTTCTCCACATCTGAGCCTTAGGACAGATTAATCATGGACAATGTGCCTTCTAGATCATTCAAATGCTGAGGGAATACTTGAACGTGTTGGGCCAGAGTGAGGCTAAAGAGAGACTGGAACATATTTCCACACAGTTGCAGCATACACGCACCAAGGAACAGGTGAGAACAACGTTCAGTCAGATTTGTGGTTACACACAACCAGAATTAGTGAATTGAATTGAAGTGTGAACTAAACTCTGACTTTAACTACAACTCTGTGGCTTTGTTGTGTACCTTTCAGGTAGATGAAGTGACTGATTTGCTGGCCAGTTTTACATCACTCAGTCTACAAAAACAGAATCTGGGGGACAGGTAGAAGACTGTGTCCAACCTGTCCTTCACACACAAACACACCTGCTGTTGTGAATTTCTTTCTCTATTTTCAAACAAAGATTTATCACAGTACTTTTAACAATGACTGTTCAACAAAGCAAATGTTTGTGTGTTGGATAATTTTTAAATTGTTATTTTGTTTAAACATTTAGGATTGTAGGTTTTTTTTAATCATATACTCAAAGGTATAGTATGCAAACTGTTTTGTTCTGTTTGTCAGGCCTAGATCGTGTAGCGCTCGCCCTTCCCCTGAAGAGGGCACTACATAGAAAGTAATAGTAAACAGCAGGGTTATCTCAGGAGAACGCCACCACTGACAATTACCGATAGAATCTGTACTAAACGGATCTATAATGTATATAGGAAATTCGTGTATGCCATGCCCTTTAGTGCAGATCTATCTATAAGACAGATGAAAAAGTCTGAGGTGAAAAGTACATTTTGTATAAAGACTGGCAGAATAAAGGAGTAAAATTGGCCCTTGGCTCAGGTGTGTGTGTGTGTACATGTTTCTTTCAAGTTTTAAAATCATTCTGTTATGTAAATGGTATGGAGTATTTGAACAATTCATTATTGGTATGTCATGTTACTTTTTTCTTTATCATTTTGGATTCGCAATGGGTTTTCCCCATGTTGCATTTTTTTATGTGGCTGTTTGGAAATCTGTGTACGTAATTAAATAAATCAGTAGGTTTGTATACAGTATATTGATAAAAAAATCTGTATTAATTGTGTAATACTTGAGCAGAATTCAAGGGTTATGCTATATGACAGCATAACAGTACATCGCCAATAGGGCTACTTCCCTTCACTCTGATTGGCTGAATTGTCGAAGCCCCACCCTCGGCCAACACGTATTGTTTTCTAAGAACAAAGATGGCGGTACGGCCCCCGTAAATTGGACATCTTACAAGGTAGTTTCATTTGTAATGACATATTTTCCTCACCCCTGATGTTTATGCACTGCATATGATATCACACGGCAGCGTAAGAAACCACGAGTAAAGTTATATGCATGTTCAAACTGCTGTTTTCCCACTGACGGAACCGCGGCCTAGTTCTGTGTGGAAGCCTCGGACTTGCCTTTGCAACTTGTACTGAACACCGCGAAATAGAATCGGCGGGAGGGATTTAGCTGCTGGAACCACTGGGAAGGGGTTGTGACAGCGAAACAAGCTGGACAGGGGGGTGTGTTTGTGTCTTTGCCAAAGTAGGCGGGAAATCTTAACGCCACCTTTTATGGTTTTTAAAGCTTACATGCAGAATAGGAACGTTAATACTTCTCCAAATGCGTTTTTCAGTTAGTTTTGACCTTTTCTCTGGGCCGAGCAGTAGAGAAACCGCCGGGACTGGAGGACAACGTACACCCATTCAAATGTACCTCCAATTCTTTCTTTATGTCATAGATAAACTTTCAGACATACTCGTGTTGCACGCTCTTATGCGAATTATGGCAATAGTACAAGTATATTCATGTTTAACTTGATGTGTTTTAATTGTTTTCTGTGTTTATTGCACAGGTAATCCCCTGTTTTTCCTGGTGTTAGTAACGTCCTGTGGCCAGTAAACGTCTTCTCAAGGGTGGAACCATGGCTTATGAGGAGATAAAGGGTAAAGAGGCCTAAATGTACTACAATAATAATAATAATAATTAAATATGTGTGTGGTTCAAATATTTAATGTTTGTATGACTTTGTTGTCGTCAACTGTAAAGAAGAATTTTGATCCTTGACTACTTGACTTGTCGTGCTGCTGTTATCTGTACCTACTCTTGGATGTTCTTGTGCAGCAGTCTCTCCCACAGACTGGTGTAAACACTGCTTCTTGATGTAATGGTCTTATAATTGAAATTTTAACAATGATCTTTAATAAGTTTATGATATCACACCATGGAAGTAGGATTTTCAAATCTTTGTTGCATCTAAGGTGGTATCAGTGTTGTATTTTGTTCACTTATTATTGCTATACAACATACTGCTATTGTTTTACTCTGCTTTGAGATTTTCCTCCTGTAAAGTCCTGCCAATGACACCATTTAATTGTAATTCAGACATGGTACTGGACGGAGACCGCAGCCTTGTTGCCGGTCGAAGCCAGAGAGAAAAGAGGAGATCGTACAAAGATCTTCTCAGAGAAGAGGAGGAGATTGCTGCTCAGGTCCGGAAGTCCTCCAAGAAGAGGACCAAGGTTAGTTGTTTTTGGAACTGGTTTATTCATTTAAATTTCAATATGTCTCTTCAATGTACAATTGGGAATTTTAATACTTTTGGGAGTGCCACTAAATCATCATCCAGTCTTCTGGAAGTCATGGTGTCCTTTTTTAAAACAGGATTCAGAGCTTTTTATGTTGGGAGGGGAGTTACACAAGAAAAAGAAGAAACATAGTGATGACTATTATCACAGAGGTGAGAAGTTTGTCTATTTTTTAATCATTGTTTCTGTTTCCTGATTGGTTATAATGAAACTAACTGTCCATTGATTCTTTACTATGTTAGACCATGAGGGTTCAGGACCAGCTCCACATAAGAAAAAGCACAAATCTGCAGACCGCTCCTCACATATGTCTCCCCCCCCGTCCTCACACTCAACGGACACAGCTATGGGCCTTTTACAAGCCATTACATCTCCTCTAGCTACGGGTTCAGACCCCGGTCCCCATTTCCTAAAGAAACCCTCCTACCCCTCTTTTTCTTCACATTCCTCCAAGGATCGCAAACGTGAACATAGCAGTGGCGGTGGAAGCAAAGGCAGCCATTCTTTCTGTCAGTCTCGACCTACGTCGTCAACCTCCTCCAAGAAACACTCCTCCGCCTCGTCAAAATCCTCTCTCTTCCACGGGGGAACTTCTAAAGAGGAGCCGTTGACGCTGCGTGAGGCCGACGGGCTGAAAATGAAGCTCATCATGTCACCAGAGAAAGAGGAAAGTGAGAGCTTCCCAATCACAGCACACTCATCAAAGGGAGTCACCAAGAAAGACAAGGACAGAGACAAGATGACTTCAAAGACTCCCAAGAGGAAGCTGCAACAGAGTCAAGATCCACTTCCTGTCGTGGGGAAGGAAGTGGAAGTCGAAGGTGAGAGAGGCGCTGGGGTAAAACACGACAGGTCACCCACAGGTAGAACAAAGAACCTTCTCTGCCATGAAGTCAGTTCTGTTTTAGAGAGGTGTGTTCATCATGTGACCACAACATTGATGACATCATGACTGTCCATGATCCCTTTAAATGTAAGCCTGTTGTAGTTCAATCATTTTGTTTGACACAGAGTGTCAGATGGCACCAATGTGAAGCTGACTTTGGCAAGTTCAGCGTCACCCCCCCAACCCCACTCCCAGACCTGAAGCCCTGAAGGTTGTGCTTTTATAGAGAACAAAGGGTTTTTAATAAAAAACTGTTGAATGGTCATGATTCCTAACATAAGACAAAGTCCAAATACCTGGGTCAAACATACTTCATTCCTTCTTCTTCACCAGGACATTTTGGAGGTGTGATGGGAGATGACAGTGCTTCTTCTGGAGTAGAGCTGGAGGCTGGAGAACTAGTCATTGATGATTCATTCACACATCTGTCTAAAAAGAAAAAGAAGAGTAAAAAGAGCAAGAAGAAAAAAGACAAGGAAAAAGACAGAGACAAGGAGAAAAGTGGGAAAGACAAGAAGCACAGCAAAGGAAATGGAGGTGAGAAATAAAAAACAAAACATGTCAAATAAAGGTTAGGGTTAGACAAAAATCTTTCTACTGGACAAGTGTGACAGGAGCAGCAACACAAAGTGGTGCATTCACTGCCATTAAATCGTGTAAATATCAAGTTAATTTTGAAGTCCAGTCTGTTTTCAGTCCTTTTGACAATATTGGCCTTGAATTAAAGTAGTAAAAGGTACTGTATGTGTGGCTGTTCTACTAAACCATTGGCTCAAAGTGTCAGCAGTCGTTCATGTATTTGATAAATGATTGACAGGTCTATGTATTGTTCTGCTGTCTTTTTTAGATACATCAAAAGGCCACAGCCACTCCCACCCCACTGTCACCCACAGTGCTGTTGGTCCAATGTATGCCATGGGTACACCGCTGTCATACCAGCAGCAGCAGCAGCAGCATAGCAGTGAATATACAACTGAGAAGAAGAAAAGAAAAGAAGAGAAGGATCGAGAAAAATCTGACAAAGACAAGGTCACATTTTTACAACTTTGTTGCTTATAGAAAGCCAACATTGACTCCACACAGTCCACAAGGGAGATTGTTGTCGCTAATACTGTAGCGTTAATGTGCTGTCTTTGGTTTCCTCACTTATTTAGCCCAAAAAGACAACGGCATACCAGGTGTTCTGTAAGGAGTACAGGGTGAACATCAATGCAGAGCAGCCAGGACTAGGTCTGTTATTCACTGTGTGCACACAAACATGTATGTGTGTGTGTATATTGTCCAGTGAATCAAAGAGCATAACAATGTTCTGTTGCTGATTGACAGACTTTGGTGAGCTGAGCAAACGGTTGGCAGAAGTGTGGAAAACGATGCCTGAGAAAGACAAGCTGGTCAGTTCTCACACCAAATATATCTATCTATCTATCTATATATATATGTGTGTGTGTGTGTGTATATATATATATGTATATGTGTGTGTGTCTGTGTGTATATATGTGTGTGTGTATATATGTATATATATGTCTGTGTGTGTGTATATATATATATACAGTATATACACACACATATATACAGTATGTATACATATATACTTGTATATGTATATGCATACATGTGTGTATATATATATATCTTGCTAAATTTGTCTTTTTTGGCTTTTTTATTTGGTCAATAAATTTGGCTTGGAAAAAATTGGAAAAAAATTTCATTAACATTACTTTATAGAACTCTTTTCACTTAAAGAGTAATACATTTTTGTGTGGAAAAAAGCCAAATTTATTGACCATGATTGAATTTATGAAAGCAATAAAAGTAAAACATCCAGAGAGGTGAATACCTATGATAAGCACTGTATGTGTATATATACAGTGTTTCCTTTCTATATCGCGGTTCTCTTTTCACTCCCTCAGTACATCGCAGAAATATTTTTTATTCCAATCTCGTGAGAGTTTCACTATATCCTGGTATTTTACGGTAAATATTTTCTATATTATCATTATTTTTGTGATAAAAAAATTTGATACAGTAAAAATATAGCAAAAAAATAAACTAAAAGACATGGCTGGTAGCTTTGTTTATCTGGAGGAGATTGAACACAGCACTGCATGCTGCTCCCTTCACTTGGTGCTGGTCCACAGCAGAGGTAAACAGAAACAGGGAATATGATGTCGCTCCCCCTTTTGCAGCTATTACAGCTTCAACTCTTCTGGGAAGACTGTCCACAAGGTTGAGGAGAGTGTTTATAGGAATTTTTGACCATTCTTCCAAAAGCGCATTGGTGAGGTCACACACTGATGTTGGTGGAGAAGGCCTGGCTCTCAGTCTCCGCTCTAATTCATCCCAAAGGTGTTCTGTCGGGTTCAGGTCAGGACTCTGTGCAGGCCAGTCAAGTTCATCCACACCAGACTCTGTCATCCATGTCTTTATGGACCTTGCTTTGTGCACTGGTGCACAGTCATGTTGGAAGAGGAAGGGGCCCGCTCCAAACTGTTCCCACAAGGTTGGGAGCATGGAATTTTCTTTTTTTCAGGAGCTGGGCTTGGCCCCTTAGTTCCAGTGAAAGGAACTTTGAAGGCTTCAGGATACCAAAACATTTTGGACAATTACAAAAAAGCTGCAATAGCTGCAAAAGGTGGACCGACATCATATTGAACTCTGGGTTAGGAATGGGATGGCACTTCAGTTCATAGCATGAGTCGAGGCAGGTGAGCGAATACTTTTGGTCATATAGTGTATGTATGTATACATATATATTACAATTACAATGTAATTTTGGAAAGCCTTTCTTTTCATTTTGTGTTATATATAAATGTGTTGTGTGCTGGTCTGGTCAGCTTTGGAGGCAGAAGGCTCAGCATCTACAGCACAAACAGAACAAGGCCGAGGCCACCACCATCAAACAGAAGAGCTCCACGGAGAACAAGAGCAAAGGTATCTTCACGCCAAGTCTCCATGGTCTGTCCTCACACTCTTACCATAATTCTGTTTTTGTCATCTAAGTCATAGCCACAGGAACTGCCGTGGTGTCGCCCAGCCGAGCCCCAGGAACCTTGTCTTTGTCACCTGCACGAGTCCCAGATGTTGATCCCATCGATGCAGCAGCTCATCTGCAGCTGCTGGGAGAATCGCTGTCTCTGATTGGACACAGACTACAGGAAACTGAAGTAAGACTTTACACTTTGAATTCAAACACTGCCCTTCATACTAACACCCCCCTCTTGTCACTGTATTAAAAAACAAAGTGTGTGTGTGTGTGTGTGTGTGTGTGTGTGTGTGTGTGTGTGTGTGTGGTGTAGGGCATGGTTGCTGTGTCTGGGAGCCTGTCTGTCCTGCTGGACTCCATCCTGTGTGCCCTGGGCCCACTGACCTGTCTCACTGCACAGATACCACAGTTGAACGGATGTCCTCGAAATGTCCTGGTAAAGTAGACACTGGTCCTCCTCTTCCTCTTCCTCCTCTTCCTCCTCCTCCTTCTTCTTTGCCTTTTCTTTGGTAATTTTGACAGTACTTTTATTTGAACCTGTGTTCTAACCCAGTTCTTTCTCTTCATTCCAGTCCAATACACTGGACAACATTGCCTACATCATGCCTGGACTGTGATCAAAGGGATAATGATGATGATCAGCGCCACCTCTAGACTGTGATTATAGCCACTTTCTGGCATTCAAAAATCTCTGGATATTTTTAATGTTGATCATTTTTAAAAGAAATGTCTTTTTTTTTAAAAGCTCATACTTTTAATATGGACTTTGTACATTTTTAGATGAAGTCTTTCTCTCTGTACTGTACTGTACTGACCTGACCTGTCTGTTGTTGTCTGGCTGGACGTGTCCTGACCTGAATGAGTGATGATTCTGTGCTTTTATAATGACTTGGACTCTGTGTGTGTGTGTGTGTGTGTGTGTCTGTCTTCTAATGACTTTTTATTCTAATGTACAGGATGATGACATGGATTCACCTCAACATCTCTAAAACATATTCAACTCTTTATATTTCCTTCTTTTACAATGTCAAAAAAGTACCTGTTTTTATAGATTTGATATGTTACTGTGCTCTGTCAACTATAGTACATTAAAGTACTACGTGATCGGCCAGAGTACTGCTTCTGCCGTTTTAACTGATGACGTGGATCAGAACGACCTCAGACACTGGTGTCATTTAGACAAATCTGATTTGTGACAAAAGTCTAGCAGCAAAGTTAAAAGATCAGGTTTATGTTAAAAAATAAATAATCATTTAAAATCAGTCTGTAGACCTGGATGATAGTCTGGTCTGTAGACTCTCTTGGTGATCCATTCAGTCATTCGTTACCAGCAGGTCTACTGAACCTCCTGCATTTGTGGATGTTCTCAGTCCTCCAGGTCATCAGAATGATCTCAAAGTAATTCAGAGTAGTCACCTGGACTCACCTCAAGAGGCTTCTTCACTTGTATTTTTCTGGTGGGGAGTTTCCCGGTATCTATCCACCCCAAGAGGGTGGTGTGATGCTGAGTGAAGTTGTCATGGACCCCAACAATATGACCGTTAACAATTTGCATACCAGGTCCTGGAGGAGGATCATGTTGAATGCTAAGCTCAAGTCCAGAAACAGCCTCCTCACGTGGGTGTTCTTTCCCTCCAAGAGCTCCAGGCTCAGGTGGAGAGCAGTGGAGGTGGTTAGGCTGGTATACAAACTGGAACAGGTCGAATGACGGGGGCAGTATGGAGATGATGTGGTCCTTAACAACCAGCTCGAAGCACTTCATGATGGTGGGTGTTAGTGCAACAGGGCATGAGATGGTTGATTTCTTTGGCACTGAAATGATGGTGTCTGACTTGAAGCACGAGGAGACGACAGAAGATGTCAGTGAGCACGTGGACCAGCCGGTCTGCACACTCCTTGATCGCACGTCCTGGGATGTTGTCAGGACCTGCAACTTTCCGTGCGGCGACCTTTCTCAGAGCTCTCTGTACATAAGTGGTTTTGAGCCTGAGGACCTGATCATCGGGGAGAAGCTTACCTTGCTGGTGTGTTGTTCAGAGGTTCAAATCTTCCAAAGAAGTTGTTGAGCTCACTGAGGAAGCTGATGTTGTCTTGGCAGGATGAGGGTGTGGCTTCGTAGTCTGTGACAGACTGGATTCCCTGCCACAGTTGTCTGGTGTTGCTGCGGTCATGGAAGAAACCCTGCACCTTCAGACTGTGGACACGTTTTGCATCCCTGACGGCACGGTTCTAATTGGTCCTCGCTGATCTGAGTGCCACCACCTCACCTGATTTGAAGGCAGTATTACGCTTCCTCAGTCTCCTGCGCACCTCCTTGTTCATCCATAGTTTCTGGTTGGCCCTTGTGATTATTGTCTTATTGTTACTCTTTCTATGTCTAATTAGGTCCAGCAACAGAAATCATCTCAAAGAAATGTAAAGACACAACACTGCAGTCCTTCTGTATTTACAAGGATACTCTACAGACTATCATTGTCTTCTAGAGAAGAAGAGTGGAAACACTCTGCCTCCAGCGGATCACAGCATCAAGAATCGAACCCCCTTACATTCTGTCCCTGCGGGTCAAGTAGATCCACATTTCTCTTCTCCAGGAGGTGACGTTTTGGGTTTTTTTAAAAAACCAACTCCACAGATAAAAATGGGGGCACTACAAGAGACGCCAAACAAGTTACAAACGTCGTTGACTTCCTGCACTAAAGATGAAAGGTTCTGGAACAGTCCACAGAATGGAGAAAAAAGGACGAAAAAGCATTGGATGCAATGGCACTGTGTCAAATCCCCAAGTCTGTTCTTCAGTTGAGGTTTCTAGAGCATTTTGAAGATTTTTATGTAAATTGGTTTATATTTATTATCTAAACAATGTTGTAGACAACAGACAACAAAACAACACACAAACAGAGGCAGAGAAGAGACTTGATTGATGATGATGATGATGATGATGATGATGATATGATGTAGTAAGCTCGTCATCAGCTTAATTATACACAGGTAACCTGCAGTCTAATGTTGTGGTCTGTAACTGCTCCAGGTCTTCAGATCTTCCCTGGGAAAGTCCCCTGCTCTATCTTTTCATCCCATTTACCCACTCACCCAGCCCTGGTACCCAGCCCTGGTACCAAGCCCTGGTACCAAGCTCTGGTACCACTGACAGGGACTTATGTCCTGGTCTTTGGCTGCCAATGCATTGTTGCATCTGTGAAAATCCAAGTAGTTCTGGAAACATTTGCTCTGGTCTCTGGTTGGTGGTCACCGTCTTCTCGTCAGTGTTTTCAGACATTATGGATGAGAGTTGAACAGTTGACAGAAGAGTCTTGGTACCGTGTCCTCTTCAAAGATGTCCTTCAGAAGAAGTTATAACAAAGAAGACAGTTATAATAAAATGAAACACTAGGTGTCAGCATTGTGACGCTTTTACTCTACAAACGTTTCGGTCACTGTAGGTCAGAATCAAAAACAGATGTTCACGAAGGGAAAAGAAAGGAAAACACGGGGAGCAAAGTCCGAAAAATCCAACATATTTGATAAACCACGGTTTGGGTAGAGTGACTGAGTTTCGATCCAGTCTTTCTGATCCTGTGTCTGTGTGAACATATTAGTTACAGTTCTATTTCATCAAAAATGAAGACAGGCGATTGTTTGACAGACGATAACCGTTAAACCGATTGTTTGTTCTGTCTATAAGTCGTTTTCTGTTCAACTGTAGCTGTGAGAACAGACATTGTCACCGCTCTACAGACCTGTCAGTTGCATTCTTATTTATGTAGTGAGTACTGACTAAAGTCGGATATCTTAGTGAGTATAATCCGCTCAGAATTTGGACAAATAGGAAGAAAAAACAAAATAATCTGGAAGCATATTCAGTTAGTAAAAATAAAATTCTAAAAGTTAAGTGTTAAGTCAATTTGGTAATCTTTTTTATTAAATATTTTTATTTAAAAAATTTTTATTTACCCGTAAGTTTGTTACATTTGATGGGAAAATCTGTCACTGCAGGATGAGTCATGGCACAGGTAGTTAGAGGAATGGGCTTCTAGAAGGAAGGTACCTGTTCGAATCCCAGATAATGCATTGAGCAAGCACAATTACTGGAGAGATGTTGCCCACTTTTCCCCTTTCACACATGGGTTGCTTGAAGAGGACGTGCGTGCGTGTGTAAATTGAGAAATAAAACTGCTTCTTCAGCACCTTCAGACCTTTGGTTTACATACGTTTGATGTAGAAGTGGTGTGATCTGGTTCTGCATGTTGGTAAGGCTGTCAAAATATAGACAGACAGATAGACGGACAGACATACATATATATAGACAGACAGACATATCTAGACAAATAAGCAGCTGAGTCAGTCTCTCAGCAACAGCAGCATTAACAGTCAGACCCTCCCAACGCTTGAGGAGGAAGCGGAAATAAACCGTATGCTAGTAGCTCGGTTCAGGCTCCGAGGACGGGCTGAAAACGACAGCAAGACATAAGCTGTTTCTCCCCTCTCCAGAGGAAACACGGGCTGGGTTAATTACCCGTTACGGTTCGGTGGCGGTGTTCCAACGGTATTTATATCGAGTGGTGAGTTTACTCGTCGTTTTCCTACACGCAAAGTTGTTTGCTGTTTTTTCTTTCGCGTCGCAGACTCAGCGTAGCCGAGCACCGTTAGCAGAGCAACAACAGCCTGCGCTTTGGGGAAAAAAGCTGATTTCTTTTCTATTCCACATTTGACAAAATAATCGACTGGGTCTCCGAGAGCGATAGAAGTATGTCGCTTATCCGAGCATGTTTATTTTTGATATAATGTCACCATGTTCTCAGCTTTGTGACACATATGATCGTTCAAGTTGGATATTGGCGCTGCATCGCAGTTATTGTTAGCCGACCTTTAGCCGGCATGCTAGCTCCACTAGGCACAGTCTGTTCTCCTGAACGGCGTCACGCCGTGGGTGAAAATGGTTAAAAATGCAGCTCTGGTAATGAAATGTCGGTCGTACAGCCGTTAAGAAAAATCTCATTTTAAACCATGACAAAACGGCTCAATGGTTTCTAAATGTCAGCCTGCTCCACCTCTCAGGCTCGAGCTTCCCCTTTTCCTCTTTCATTGTCTCTGTCGTATCTATCGGTGACGCGCTTTATTTCGTCTGTTTTCTGGAACTGTTACGGTCATGGGTTTGAATGTTTTGTTTTTCTCTAAATATGGGCCACAGTCACGGTGCAGGCTTCGTCGTTATGAACCGTGGTGGTCTGTGTGTTGTACACAAGGAATCTGTTAGTCGGTCTTTGGCTGTCATCTGGATGGCTGTCGGATTTAATTGCTTAACTGGTCATTAGGGTGAAGCCATCAGAGCTGTACGGCAGCATATCAACAAACAACATAATGGGATAACACGGCATCATCCGTTTAACTCTGTAAATGCAGTTTCTAGCCCGTGGATAACTGACTGGTCTGTGGTCGGACCAGGTGTCTGTTTGTCAACACAGTCCGCAGATTATAGTGGGGTCCAATGGCCTTGTTCTCAGAGAAGCAAAAACAAAAGCGTTGTGCAGGGTTTGGGCTGTCACGATGGAAAAAAATAAATTTAAATTTTTAAAAGAGAATCGTTGATGCTCACAAGGAAATAAAATAACATAAAAATGTTGGACAACATTTTCAAATGATGAAAACTGGAGGAAGCCATGTTGTCAAGAGGTGTAAATAGATGGACACAGTGTTTGAAAGGAAGATCATGGACATGAATGTCAGGTTAGACTAGAACTACTTGTAGCTCTTGACAGTTTAAAGTTTTAAAACACACATTTTTTCAACAAAGTAAAATAGAACTTGGACTGTAGAGAATGTCTCTGCAGAGAGTCATATCACCTTAAGATCCCTGGCCCCATACTTTCACCCATATGGTTATTACTGACAACATGGTCCAGTGGCAGGGGAAGGAATGTTGTGAAGGAGGAGAAGTAAACTGAAAAGATAACAATAATAATAATGAAATAAAGCATTTTTAAATACTTGAATCATACATTATTTTGGCTGAAGAAGACTGACCCGAAAACAAGTGTCTAGACCAGAAGATGATGAACTCCAAAGGGCCATGAGAGTTGCACCAGAGAATAATTGGTAATACTACTGCAGTATTATATAGAAGTACCAGAGAACAGGGACCTAGTTATGTTGGGTGGCAGCGATGTAGTAAAATAATGTTGTAGAATATGCTTCCTAGACAAAGCTGCCATGGTGATAAATGCTCTGTTCAAATGATGACACTTGGAACTGATTCCTGTGTTCTGTTTGCAGGTGCCGTCCTGTGTTCTTTATGTGAGGTCTAAGCCCTGACCAAACGGGTCACAGACGGGAGGAGAGACTCGGAGGAAAGCATCTGTTTTCAAAGGCTTGGATACTTTCTTTTAGTTTTTTATTAAGTCCCTGAAACAGCCAACTGTTTTCCACCAAACCGCCATCACCATGGAGGCCATTGCCAAATATGATTTCAACGCCACTGCTGACGACGAACTCACGTTCAAGCGTGGAGAAATCCTTAAAGTAAGTAGGAACTTTTCCAAAACAGGGTTTGTCTGTATTTATTTATTTATTAAAACTTTAATATGCTTTTAATAATTTCACTGTAAGTAATGAGTAGACAGATTCTTTTGCAGCCTTTCCTCCACAGTCGTTGACTAAGGCATGCATCACAAGGAGGTGTTTGAGATGTGACTTCAAGCATGACCTTGGGCAAATAATTGTTCCCAAATCTTTGCACCTAAATACTTGTCAAAGTCAGGAGATTAATGGAAACTCACATTACACTACTGTGACAACAAGTGAGTGTGCACAGTTACAGTGGCAGCTTCATGCACCAGTGCTGCCCTTTTATTGAACAGCCCACAAAATCAACACGGTAAAGTTTGTCAAATTAGTCAGATTTAATTTATATACATTTCAATGCATAATCAAAATAACAAGAATAACCAATTATTTCATGGTCCTTCCACTTATCCATGGTTTAGTATACACACACACACACTGTGGGGAAAAAGTGCTTCAACCTCTGGTCAGCAGCCCTGCCCCAAGTTGGGCGCTTGTGTCAGAGCAGCCTGACTGAGATCAGGACAGCCAATCAGTCTACGACTGACAGTCTGACAGACACAACAGTCAGATGGACTGTTCAGTACTGTAGGCTGATTGATATTGTTGAGTGCAATGACTTCATATTTTCAGTTATACTTTTTACCTCTATCTGCTGTTCTTTCTTTCTGCATACTTTTACATTTTGGGAGTGTTGTAAAACTCTAACCCTATCGTGTGAATAATCGGATTAAATTTTCTAATATAGACAAGCAGTACGTTGCTGTATTTCAGTTTATTTATATTAGTTCATTTCACTTAATCATTCAGATTTATGCTTAACAGTACAAATACATTAGATTGATTGCAAAATTGTTATCATTGCCCAGTATCATCTATGTACCAAAAACTCAACAAAATATGGATCTTACAACGTCCAGGTGTAGATGTAGCCAAATGTGGATTAAACAGTCCATCTTTCTTAAGATGTTTTCTATTTCTAATATTCACAGTGCTGCTGTGTCATGTGATCATGTGACCAGTTAATGTGGGGCATTAGAACAACAGAACCTTTAGCCCAGTGAATAATACTAAAGTGCATAAAAGGAACAGAGCTACAGTAGGAGGAGACACAGGTGGAAGACAGTCATCATCTGTGAGGTGTTTGTTTGGATTCACGTCCTTTATTTGAGGTTCAGTCTGTATAATCCCAGTCCATGTCCTCTGATCTGAGACTTTTATTTTAAAACACGATTCCATTCATTGTTCAACCGTTTCGTCCCAAATGGGAAGTGAAAAAAGTTATGAAACGTTTCCCTGTGTTGGGATTTTTCAAATCACTGTAATACCCATGTTCCTCACCACGGAAGGCTGATGTGTGTGTGTGTGTGTGTGTTCATAACCAGGACATGTTTTTGGCTCAGCTGCTCCTGTCATTAGCGTGATAGGTGTGTGTATACTGCATATATGTTCTGACTTTAATATTGGTTGCATTAATTAGCAATGAGCAGCATTGAAATTAAGAGGTCTTCTGAAAGCAGACAGCAGTTATACAAACAGAGTTGTTTAAAAAAAACCCAAACATTTCACTGTGGACGGTCTGGGAGAAGAAGAGCTGGAAATCCTACTGACCGGTTATTGATTTTTTTTTTCACGTGAAGTCATAAGAACTGTGCTTTCATAGCCTGGTGTTCTCTGGCAGAAAACCTCAAACATTTTCTCAGATTGAAACGTTCCTACTCAGACGTTAATGGAACAAACCAGAGAATATTCCAGAGAATAATCCTCTCTCAGGGAAACTGAAACAGGGCGTTCTGCTCTTTGGTATCATATACTTCTCTTGGTTGGTTTGAGGAACTCTGTTGTTCTTGATTGATAAACCAATCCTTTCAGGGATCCACACTAACTTTTTTGCATTGATTGCACTTTTTTTGGATGCACCCAAATTTTTAATTGTATGGCCTTTAACATCATCGGGTCGCCTTTTTACTGCTCTCCATAAGTCTGATATAATGTGAATGATTTAACAACAAGAATATGTGTGTCTCTATTTGAAGCACAAGTTTTTCTCCATGAGGTGGGTTTCTGATTTGAATTTAGTGATCGGCAACTCAGAGTTGAAATGATTAGCATTTCCAGAGCAAGGCAACTTGCTATAAGTTTCTATAGGACAAGTTGTTGACCTGCTTATAAATGCACTACTGCTGGCCATATTCAGACTGCAGTCCTGACAGTAAACGCAGTGCGTTGTGTTACGTCCTTTGTCGTACCTCAGCCATGGAAATAGTTTTAGCCAGGTCTGTCTGAAGGAATACATTTTTGGCTTTTATTTTGAGTCTTGGGGCTAGGCTCCGTCTCAGACTTGGTTGTCCCCTGTTCAGAGTCCGATGCTGTCGCAGAAGAACCGGGGCTTGGCATATTACCAAGGATGGAGAGCTTGGTGTCTGGGCTGAGTGGACTCTCAGCAGTGGTTAAGGCTGGATGTGGAGCTGGATGTAGAGCTGGATGTGGGGCTGGATGTGGAGCTGGATGTGGAGCTGGATGT